ACCAACAATAAAGTCTTAAATCATGTTAAAGTTATTTGTTTTTTAAATTTCCTAAACAACTGAAGAGGTGATTGGAAAATTCACTAGTGAATCATAACGCATGAATAAAAGAATGAAATTTCTTTTCATCCCTGCCTGTGTGTTTTCCCCGTTCCTCTTCCACCCTGGCCCCCTGAATCTCACTTTTCTAGGCTGATCTATGGGAAGAGAAGCAAAGACACAAAAGATTATATTGGAAAAAGAGTTCATCTAAAAGTTCCCAAACTTGAGTTTTGTCCTGGCCTCTGCCGTGGTCTGGGTGTGTGGTCTCGCAGGTCGGTTACCTCCTGTGGGTGTCCTCCTGTTACCTCCTGTGGGTGTCCTCCTGTTACCTCCTGTGGGTGTCCTCCTGTTACCTCCTGTGTGTGTCCTCCTGGGTGACTGCACCCTGCTCAGCTCCCCAGCTCCGCCCAGGGAGGGAGGTGGCCCAGCCGCGCCAGTCCCTGCCTTCCTGCCCACTCTGAGGCTTGCTGGGATTATCTATGAGCCTGGGTGGTTCTGTCTGTGAGAAGCAATTCTCTCCCTGCTATGAGAATCCAAGTCTCCATCGAAGGGCGGAGAATCAGGCTGCACAGATTTTACACAAAGCCCATTCATTTGGTAACATGAGAATTCATTTGGAATTGGAATCCATAGTACATTTGTGATTTCTGCTTAGAGTCCAAAAGTTATCCGGTAACACAGTTTCTGACGTTGGCTGTCACCATGGTGAGGAACAAATTAACTGGGGTACCATGGCCATATAAGGCTGAGTTAGCCAAGTGCTCGGGAGGGGGGTGTCTGCACTCAGGCATTTTCATGGCCGCCACAGTAGCACCGTAGGGAAAATATACCGCAAGGCCCCCCAGGGGAAGCTGTGGGAAAGAACAAACTATGCACACAGCTCTTTGAACAGCAAATTCTGTCCAACTGCTATTTTTATGTATTACATTACTTTAAACAAATACTATTGGTCCAGAAGTAGGGCAGAAATAGCCCTGCTTTCTGCAGAAACACATTTGGGAAAATCTGTTAATTAATAACTATTTAAGTCACGATACATGAGGTTTGTAGTATTGAAATAGACACTGTATCTTTAAAAAGCATTTTAATAAACTATATGCTATTGTCCTAATAAAAAATATACTGGATAATGTCTTCAGTTTCTTGCCTTTTACTGTCAGCCATTTCTGTCACCCTATTGATCAATGTTCAATGGCACTCCTGACACAACTGGGCAGCCCCGTGTGCCTACGGTCAAAACAACCCAGTGCTGGCTCCGTGAGCTTGCAGGGCAGCGTGGGTCCCGCCCATGTGTGAGACGGTGCCGAGCATGTGCAGCACACAGACAGGGGCAGACCTCGCCAGGTACCAGGCCACCTGAGCGCTCGCTGCCCATACATAGTGGACCCCCAGCCCAGGCCCCAGAGTGGGGTATCGTTTGCTTCTGTCTCCTGTATGACCTCTCACACAACTGCCAAATCTCAGCCTAATTTGATCCCCATTGATAACCCACCTACAGAATTACAGGAAAGCCAAACCCACACCGAGATTTGGATTACTCACATTCATCCAATTAACAGAAGGTGTCAATTTTTCACTTTACTTGCAAAGCATAGAAACAGACTCAAGGTGTTTCTTTCATTAGAGACACAGGGAAATAAAAGGTCTTGATGCCTATACTGTAAATTTACTTAATTATAGAGACCTAGGAACCCTTAGACTCCCTCCTAATAACCTCTTTGGAAAGGTCTTTGGCATAATATAATAGTACACTGCTACACAGATGCATTATATATCAAAATAATCAGAATTAGCTATCTTTACTGACAAACAAAATACTTCTAAAGGCATTACGGAAAATTTTGATATATGAGTCCTGCATCATATAACCATAGAAAGTGAAAAGGAGCAGACCCAGTAACCATCTACTCAGTCTGTTTGGGTTCTGTCTGGCTGATTACTTGGAGAAGAATGTAGAGTCCCTCTAGAGTCTAACTCCATCCAACGCAGGCGGGTCTCGCAGATACTTGTGTGCCACTACTTCGTCTGCTGCATGCCCACATAAGGCTGGGCTCACCTCCGCACCCCTGCAGCAGAAGCATCGCTGGGAAAGTCTACAGCAAGGGACCAGGGGAATTCTAAATCTCCTGAAATGGCTTCCACATACTTAAAACATGTTTATCCTTGCTAAATGCTGATAAATAGTCTTCAACTAGCAATTCCCAAAGCATAAAGTCCCCACCCCAAGCAGAGGAATCCTGTACTAAAACAGTAACTGTTTGGGGAAGTGCAGCTCATGATAACACAGCATGCGGAGACGAGAGCTTCCATCCAGGGGCTCTGCTGTGATTTTTGACATTGAAATAGTGACCAGTCACGTGTGAGCAGAGAAGACCACCAAATGTATAAAGAGGTGTCCTGTCATAAATTTTATCGATGTGATTTTGTGCGAGGGACACAGGCAGTGACGTAGTAGCCCAGCCTTGGGGCCATGCTCAGGCTTTGTTCTTACTGGGCAGGAACAAGGGAGGTCTACTTTAAAAAACAACTTCAGGATTCAACTTAGTGAAGCTCATTTGGGACACCCACGCTGGGTATAGTTTCTAGTTTCAAAAGCAAGGCAATGCAGGCAAGCACTCCCCATTGCCAGGATAACCTGGCATTTGCCAAATGAAGGTGTAGACACGCTCGAGTCCTGGAGGCAGTGGCATGAGTACAAGGACAAAGAGGCAGAAGATCGTCATAAAACGAAATACCCTCCCCACACTTCCACACATGCAGAAAGGCTTAACCATGTAAGTAAAAATAATACGGTTTTAAAATATGTAATGTCAAGACTTAAACATCAGTTTTAAAGGCAGTAGAATAAGGGATCAATCACTTCAATTAAACATATTAAACCCAGTATCAGGTCAATATTTCAAATTCTGGTAGGTATAATGGTGATAATTTGGCGTAGCCTTTTTTTTCTCTTATTTATCTATGAAATGGGCTACATAAAGGACATTCAGGGAATGAGTAATTTTAACACATTGACTGCCACACTAAAAAAAATTTTTTCCTGGGGAACATGGTGTTTTATTATGAAAATAGAATAAAAACTTCGAAAACAAAATGATCCTTTCTAATTGAATGAAAAATGTATTATTTTTAATTGTTGTTTGTGCTTTATTTATATGCAATTAAATTGCCAATGTTAACTGTAGCAGTAAGAATATCAACAAGTAAGATTTTCATGAATCAGCTGCAGTTATACATGCTTCACAAGGCCCTGGGCTCAAAAATAGCTTGAGTTAAATACAACTCACATGGCAGTTAATGTGTTAAAAGTTAGAGTTTTATCCAAGGTATAATTGCCAGTGTTTTCTAGCTTGCATACCTATATTGCGGTATAAATGCAACTATGTTTTTCTTCATGTAACATTTTTATGAAATCTATGTTTAAGTATAAAACATAGTTGCATTTTATATATACACATATATACATACATACACAGATAGGTATTTATAACAATGAATAAGAGAAAAAATGCTTATGAAGATTAGCTCAATTACTCTCAATGTATCAGGAAGATGGTACAAATTGACCCAATTTTGCACTATATTATTGTTTGTTCTGGTGGAAGAGAATATAACTGTATTAAATTTCTTAGCAAAGTATGCAATTGACTTAATCAGGCAATTTAAGAAACATTCATTTCAAATGGAAGTATGGTCACATGCCGTAAAATGGCATTTTGGTCCACAACAGACTATGTATGAGATGGTAGTCCCCTAAGGTCATAATGGAGCTGAAAAATTCCTATCATCTAGCGATGTAGCCATCAAAACACCATATGCAACACAATTCCCATGTGTTTGTTGTGATGCTGGTGTAGACAAACCTGCTGCACTTCCAGTTGTATAAAAGTAAAGCACATACAACTACACATGATACATCATACTTGATAATAAATGACTATGTTACTGGCTTATGTATCTACTACATTATATTTTTTAATCATTATTTTAGAATGTACTCCTTCTATTTGTTAAAAAAGAAAAAAAGTAACGGTAAAACGGCGTCTGGCAGGCCCTTCAGGAGGCATTCCAGAGAAGGCACTGTTGTCACAGGTGGTGAAGCTCCATGCCGGTTATTGCCCCTGGAGACCTTTCCGTGGGACAAGATAGGTGTGTGAGTGTAAGACAGTGATACTGATGATCCTGACCCTGTGTAGGCCTAGGCTAATGCAGTATTTGTACTGTAGTCTTTAACAAAAAGTTTACAAAGTAAAAAAATAAATAAAAAATTTGAAAATAGTAAAAAGTTTATAGAATAAGGATATAATAAAAGAAAGTATTTTTGTACAGCTGCCCAGTGTGCTTGTGTTTTAAGCTAAGTGTTATTACAAAAGAGTCAAAATTTATAAAAATTAAAAAGTTTATAAAGTAAAAGAGTTATAGTAAGCTAAGGTTAATTTATTATTGCAGAAAGAAAATTATTTTTAAAAAATGTACTGTAGCCTACGTGCACAGTGTTTATAAAGTCTACAGTAGTGTACAGTAGTGTCCTAGGCCTTCACGCTCACTCACCACTCACTGACCCACCAGAGCAACTCCTAGTCCTGCAAGCTCCACCCATGGTAAGTGCCCTATGCACGTGTACCACTTTTTTTTTTTTAATCTTTTACACCACTGTATTTCTACTGCACCTTTTCTGTGTTTAAACATGCTTAGATACATAAACACTTCCTATTGTGTTACAGTTGCCTACAGTATTCAGGACGGCAACATGCTGTGCAGGTGTGTAGCCCAGGAGCCACAGGCTAGGCCACACAGCCCAGGTGTGTAGTAGGCTGTACCTTCCGGGTCTGTGTAAGTGCACTCTGTGATGTTCGCATGACAAAACCACTAACGATGCGTTTCTCAGAGTGCATCCCCGCCGAAGTGAGACCTGACTGTGCAAGGAAGGGAAGAGTAATTGCAACGCTGTGACTTACACGCCCGCCTTTCTCGGGGTAGCACTGGCAGCCCCCACTGCAGTCTCTCCCTCCACAGGGCACATCAAGCTTCTTCACACCCTGCAACAATCAAACACAAAGCAAAGAAAAAGTTACCTAAAACATTGTCAACTGCATATGTATCATAATGTCATCTGTTGAGAATCCTTCCAACTCTAACATTCAAAACATTCAGTAAGTCATTTTTCAAAACAGATTTTAATTTTAAGAACAGGTTTAGGTGTACAGCAAAATCGAGCGGAAGGCACTGAGATTTCCCACAGAGCCCCTGTCTGCCCGCACCCACCGCCTGCCCGCCGTCGCATCCTGCGCCAGAGCGGACACTCACGACAATCGCTGACCCTGCACCGACACAGCGTCATCACCGGGAGCCCAGAGTTTGCACCGGGGTCCACCCTTGGTGCTGCACATGGTGTGGCCAGCAAGCGTTTGTAAGGAGCCCACTAAGTAGTGGAGAGCACTCCCGGAATCCAGGGATTCCACGTGAAGCGAGGAAACCGAATGTGCGCCTGCTGTGACACTGAGGACCTGGTATGAAAGAGAAACTCTAGGGGCGCAGGAAGCAGCTCTTCTGCTGCCTGGAATGTCACGGTGCACCTGGAGAAGACGGCTGAGGTGAGCCCAGAGAGGTGGGCAAGAGGGTGGCCGAGGAGGGGAGCAGGTGGGGCCGGCATGAACTGTGGCTTTGTCACACTCAGCAGGGCCACTCTGGCTCCATCAGTAACACCCGTCATGGTGATCAAAGGGGGTTCCTGTGAGGAGGGGGCCTCCCAAAAGGCTTGCAGATACGCCTGCTGATGGGGTGATAGACCCTCACCTCCAGCTCTGGCATCACCTGTGACCTCAACTGTGACCACCTGCAAAGGAGAGCCCATCCCCTTCCCCTTCCCTCCACAAGACCTGCTTATCTGGGTGGGAGGAGGAGGCATCTGGGGCCATAGGCTTTCCCAGTGTTTATTTGGTCAGATGGGGGGCACAATCCAACTGTTTGTCCAGATGGAGATATAACTCTGAAATGCGTTCAGTGGATAACTGAGCTAGCTCCCTGCCTGCACAGTCCCAACGAGACAAAAAGGCATTTCTCGCCCTTGATCTCCACATTTCAGGCGAAAGATGGACTTGAAGATTGGACTACCTGAAGAAGTACCTTAGCTCTTCCTTTCAGACTGTTCCCACTACCAAACATTTTGAGACAAAAATGACAAAGAGATCGGCCTTCTTTTCTCCCCTTTCTGATCAGCCAAGTATCAGACTTGGCGTCTTCTCCCCCCACAGGTGAGGTTCTGCAGCCCTCCCCCCACAGGTGGATTCCTGCAGCCCTTCCCCCACAGGTGGGTTCTTGCAGCCCTCCCTCTACAGGTGAGCTCCTGCAGCCCTCCCCCCACAGGTGGGTTCCTGAAGCCCTCCTCCCATAGGTGAGCTCCTGCAACCCTCCCCCAACAAGTGAGCTCCTGCAGCCCTCCCCCCACAGGTAGATTCCTACAGCCCTCTCCCCACAAGTGAGCTCCTGCAGCCCTCCCCCCACAGGTGAGCTCCTGCAGCCCTCCCCCCACAGGTGAGCTCCTATAGCCCTCTCCCCACAGGTGAGCTCCTGCAGCCCTCCCCCTACAGGTGGATTCCTGCAGCCCTCCCCCCACAGATGAGCTCCTGCAGCCCTCTCCCCACAGGTAGATTCCTACAGCCCTCCCCCCACAAGTGAGCTCCTGCAGCCCTCCCCCCACAGGTGAGCTCCTGCAGCCCTCCCCCCACAGGTGAGCTCCTGCAGCCCTCCCCCCACAGGTGAGCTCCTGCAGCCCTCAGGTGAGCTCCTGCAGCCCTCCCCCCACAGGTGAGCTCCTGCAGCCCTCCCCCCACAGGTGAGCTCCTGCAGCCCTCCCCCCACAGGTGGGTTCCTGCAACCCTCCCCCAACAAGTGAGCTCCTGCAACCCTCCCCTCACAGGTGGGTTCCTGCAGCCCTCTCCCTACAGGTGAACTCTTGTTGCCCTCCTCCCACAGGTGAGCTGCTGCAGCCCTCCCCCCACAGGTGAGCCAGTGCAGCAGCTCACAGGTAAATCCTAGTCTGGCCCTTCACCCTCAGCCAGTCTCTGTCCACCTGTCTGGAGCCCATCCTGTAGGCAGTTACACTTTAGGGACCCTGGACAAGGTTGGCTTCTGGTGCTCAGTGAGCCACACCTCATCATGCAAGTAAAACTCCCCAGATGACAGAACCCTTTCCAATTATGAACAAATTTTATGACATTTTACCACAGCCTTTTCATTCTCTTCTGAGTTGAGTCTCAATGACTCAACAGGATGCTGGCTTGGGGACCCCCTCTGTAACTTGCTCATGGTAGCATGTCCGCCGGGTCTTCCCTGGTCCCAGCACAGGCCGAATGCCCGTGTGCAAGTGCAGTTGCCACCTCTGAGGCTCCCGCTCATCGGGCTTCCCTGCGGTGCCGGCAGAGGGGCAGGACAAGGACACTCAAAGCCACCTGAGCCCTCAGCAATCACTCTGTGTTCTTGTGCAGATGATAAACCCCTTCCCTTAGCTAACAATTTCCCCTAGAGAGGGCTCATTGGAGAGTTTCATATTTTTTGTATTCTTATTATAATTCTTTGCCTGCTATAGTACCTGATGCCTCAGCCAGTACTTTGAAGAATTTTAAAAAGTCTGAAAAAGTCTCAAACCCTTTAAAGAAACCAATACTTTGAAAGCCTTTTACATCCTTTTTTTTTTGTCCTGAGTGAGGTGATGGGACAGCTTGAGTTCCATAGTGCAAAAGAAAACACACATGAAATCTGCTCGTGCCCTCACAATAGCATTTGCCAATTTCCTATGGCTTCAATGTTTATCTGCAACAGGGCTCATAAGTTTCACGACTTTGAATAGGTGAATTTTTAGAAATGCAGCTCCACTAAGCTGCAGGTTTAGCACCAAAGACAGGGGTCTAGATGGCTGCCACAGTCCTATGTTTTATTCCACATGAGTGGAACATGAACAGGCGCCTTGGCTCACGTCCGCAGTTCACCCAATAATTCATTCACCAGTTGCTTGGGAAGGGCGGGGGCCTCTTCAGTCTAAAGGGTAAAGCACAAACTCATATTCTCTGTCTGTTATTTCACGTGCTATTTTTAATTTTGATTTTAGAGCCACTTGCCAAGGCCCTGTATATAAATCAACAGCTGAAATGATTTTAATGGTTTGAAATTGATCTAACAGACTCCCTATTCCAGGTTTAGGATATTCACTGGATTTAGTTATAGAAATGGGTTCTTCATAACCTGCTCAAGATGGAATGGTGTTTTCTTGCTTTTGGAACGAGGACTTGTAGGCTAACTTGGAATTTGTATGCTATCTCCCAGTCTCAACACTTTTTCAACCACGTGCCAGTGGCTCAGACACACTGTCTCATGAGGGGAGGAATACTCCATTGGGGGGCAGCCCCCTGGCCCCGCTTCCATGCCAAGCCAGTTTCCAGCATGGACATTCCAGCTGGGCGCGTGTGTGTATGTGTGTGTGTGCACGCGTGCGTGCACTTGTGTGTGTGTTCCCACCAGCAGCTTAGCTGTCCTCAGACAGACTCTTATGAATTCCAGCATCTACAAGAGCCCTAAGTACCATACTAGAATGTCAGGTCTCCAGGATGAACAGAAATATTTACTTCTTAGGGTAGGGTGTGTGCCCCAGACAGTCTCTTAAATGCTGAACAAGTCTCTCACTTGAGCCGTGGCATTCCCCTGACAAGATATGGGACTCAGAAGCAGTCTCAAGATATGAACGCCTTCCTGGGGCCCTGGAACGAGGAGTGTGGTGTGACCAGGCCTCACCCCTCAAAACGGAAGAATATGAAATGTGCACACCAGCCGCTGACTACTCCCAACCCAAGGCTGTCCCTTGATTTTACTGCTTGACGCAACTGCAAGACAAGCCGCGATCCCACCTTGCCAACTCCTCCTTAATAAAAATGATGACTTTCCTCCCATTCTGCATCCGCCTCACCACGCTGCTCCCCAACCTCGATGGCACACGGGCCTGGTCCCGTCTGCACCGTCACGTCCCGGCGGTGCACTCTCCCTCCCCCTGGAAGGGCCAGTTTGCCTCAGGATTCTTTACACAATCCTCCAAGCGTCTCACCAAGTATTGTACATTCTCTTTCTACAAAAACTACAAGTTAAAATAAGAAACATCAATTAACTCCTCCATTAATCTCCGATTCCCTGTCTGCGTTCGCAGCGGCAGCCACACGCCGGCGGATTCGGATACTGCGCTCTCCCGGGGCCTGCAGCTGCACCAGTGCGGACTTCCGCGCCTGCGCAGCTCAGAAGGGGATGGCTGGCACTCCCAGCGCCACAGCTGTGTGGAAAGGACTCCTTGTCACGGACCAGGCTACGGCTACTCAAACTCTGGAGCTTGTTACCCTTCCTCCCAGGGTACAAGAGGACTGATCGCCCAATGGGACCAATTGTACTGCAGATCTGCGAGAGCCGGGGCAAGCGCCCATCCCACGGAGAATGCTCCAGTCTCACCTCCCCATATTCACATGGAACCACGCCCAGCTGGGGCCTCTGGGGCCACCAAGAAGCGACAGCCTGCATTTTTCTTCAGCAGCACCAGTGAGAGAACATCCAACACCCCAATTGCAGCTGGGAGGGGTCGGGGAGATAATTCATCCTGCCTTTCATGTTACAAATTCATTCACTTGTTCATTCCTCACTGACATGAATTTACTCTGAGCCATGCACTGTGCTGGGCTCTGGGTGTCAAGTGGGGGACAGATGAGACATTGTCCCTGCCCTTGAGGCATGTGAACAAGTAGAACAAATAAAGAAAGTTAAATAAGAAAACAAACAACAAACCTGCATAATCTAAATTCTGGTAAGTGCTCTGAAGAAGAGGGTTAGAGAGTGAATAGGAACAGTGAGGCCTTGAGTACGAAGTCACACCTGCTACCAGCCAGGGCCACCTTGGCTCAGGCCTCTCTGGCTCTGCTATTCTTCACGTGCCAGACCCACCTAGGCCAACCACCCTGGCATGGGAGAGGAGGACCTTCAAGGTGTCATTATCAGGGAACTGAGGACA